ACAATCACGAGGCAGTTGAGACCTGATTATCAGTAGTTCCCTTTGAAATTACAAATTCCAACACCTGGATACATCCTACCCTCATCCCTGGTTCAATTTTTCCCTTGGTGCCCCTCATTCATTAATTCATTGGTTTTATGTCTGTCTCCTTTATACAAATGTGGAATCCATAAGAAGTAACATCTAATGTTCTGAAGCACTGTTGGGTACTTAGGATTGACAATAATAAATTGTATATTTCATAACAGCTAGGAGGAAGAATTTTGTGGTACAGGGGATTGAACCCAGGGCCTTGCATATGCTAGGCAAGTGCACTACCACTGAGCTACATCCTCAGCCCTTCTGCTTTTTAAAAAATAATTTTACTGTGAGACAGGGTCTTGCTAAGTTTCCCAGGGTGGTCTCAAACCTGTGATCCTCCTGCTTCAGCTTCCCAAGTAACTGGATTATAGGCATGTACGACTATGCCCAACCTAGGAGAAAGGATTTTCAATGTTCCCAAAACAAACAAAGGAGAAATGAGCAAATAGAGTAGTCAACTACCCTAATCTGATCACTGCATTTGTATGTGTGTACTGAAATATCACATTGCACTTCTTAAGTATGTAAAATTATTATGTGTCCATTAAAACAAACTAGCAAATAAAGAGTGTGGTCTCCATAAGGGCAAAAATTTCTGACCATGTTGTTTACTGCTATAAGCACAGGATCTAGAACACCCCTAGCACACAAAAAGTACTCAAAAATATCTGCTAAAAGTAAATCAATGAATAGATTCTGATTTCTGTCCTTTTCCAACCTGGTTATAAGGTTCTTGCTTTGATTCTCTGAGCCACCCTATATCCTTTCCATCAATTTTTATTTGCTTAAGTTAGATCTTTGTAACCAAAATATTTAAGGGAGGAAGGCTCCTCAAGATACAGCATTAATGATAATAGATATGAACTAAGCTTCTGCTGTTAAATAAATTATAGTAGCACAACGTGCAGTCAGAATAGAATTATTACATATAAAACCAAAACCCACCTCAAATGTACTTGTCATAAATTCCTCTTTGCACTTATGCTGCAATTTCTCCAAGAGATAAAATGGGGTTAAGGTCCCTCAGAACTATGATGTGAAACAATTTAAGTTTATTTAAAATAATTAAAGATCATAAGTTGTTTAACAAATGTGTTATATGGTTAAAAAAAAGTCCTAAAGTTTTCAAAAAGTAATTATTTTGTGTTTATTTTGTTAATGAGATGATAATTTCAAACTTCCTTAAAGCATGCCTAGCTTTTCTCTCTCCCATTTGGACCAATAATGTTTTCAAGGCACAGGCTCTACCAGCATTTCTCAAAGAAGGAAACAGTTCTAAACAATCCTTAATTGTTTAAAAACATAACATCTTTGTCTGGGATGCTACTATAAAATGTCATAAAACAGAGCAATTTAAACAACAGAAATTTGTTTCTCACAGTTGTGAATGTTGGAAAATCTAAAGAACAAAACAGATTTAGTGTAACTAGAGGCACTTTTTCATTTATAGTCAGTGCCTTCTCACTGTGCTCTTTACATACAGAAGCAACAAGGGGTGTCTCCTGGGTCTCTTTTATAAAGGCACCAATTCCATCACTAGGGCCTTCTTCCCTCCTGACCTATCTCCCCAAACTTTCACCCTATAATACCAACACCTCGGGAGTTAAATTTCAACGTATGAATTTGGAGTCAAAGACCATAAACATTCAGGCCACAGCAGAGACAAGAGATAAAAAAGAAAGAGAAAGGGAGAGAGAAATTCATAACATTTTAAATAACTTCAGGAAATGACTGGAATATCTACTATTAAGCCAAAAATATTATACTTCCCAAGGTCAACATACAAATGTTATGCTATGTCCACTCATTTCAAAAGTTAATTCTCTAATACATGAGCTAAAGAAAGAAACAAAGAGTTACTTAGGAACAGACATGTGTCCAATAAGGCACTCCCTAGCACTTTCTGGGAGATGGTCAAAGGCGAAAAAACAAATACAATTACCAATGTGGGAAAACTGCCCTAGATGAACCAATATCCAGAATAAGTCCATATATTTCTGATATTCATATTCAACTTCTTTAAAACATTAATCAAACTGTATATAATGACTCTTTCCAAATAGGAATAAATACTCTTGCTCACTGAAGGAATTATAGCACCATGTAGTTTTATGGTGCTATAATTTTTATATATAAAAAATGTTTTATATATAAATTAAATTTTATAAGTTTTATATATAAATTAAAACTTTCATTTTTTAAATACCACTATTGTCGTGGAAGGAAGTGTTTATATATATATATATATATATGTGTGTGTGTGTGTGTGTGTGTGTATATATATATATATATATATATATATGTTTTAAGTTATCAATGGACCTTTATTTTATTGATATGTGGTGCTAAGAATTGAACCCAGTGCCTCACACATGCCTGGCAAGCAGCAAGGGGTGCCACTGAGCCCCAGCCCCAGCCCATGGAAGTGTTGATTTTGTTATTTGGCATTTGTAGAATATTTATATCTACCTCATCATGAAACCTCTGCAGCATTATGACAAAGCCTGCTTAGTACAATATTCTCTTTCTTGGTGCCTTTATAAAGAAACTGTGGTTTATATACACATTATACCCAGATAGGAAGGCAGAGGGGAAGAAAACACAGGTCAGAGTTAAAAACAGTCAGACCTCATTTCCAATGAGGATTATCCCTCCTTCCATGAGCAATCTGGAGTTCAGAATGAGAGACAAGAGGCACAGTCGGATGCCCCTGAGGGAGGTGGAGAGAGTGCACACTGCTCTGCGGATTCCCTAACTGCCTTAACAGAAAACCAAGCCCTGGTTTGCTTCCCGCCCAGCCTCAGTTCTTCTATATAAAATTTTGCTAGCAAAAGAAAAAATGAGGTAAAGAGAGAGCCTATGTTTTGGGAGCAAATTTTTGCCACATGCACACCAGATACAGCACTAATCTCCAGGATATATAAAGAACTCAAAAAACTTAACACCAAAAAAGCCAACAACCCAATCAATAAATGGGCATAGGAGCTGAACAGACACTTCTCAGAAGAAGAAACATAATCAATCAACAAACATAGGAAAAAAATGTTTAACATCTCTAGCAATTAGAGAAATGCAAATCAAAACTAAGATTTCATCTCACTCCAGTTAAAATGTCAGTAATCAAGAATACAAACAACAATAAGTGTTGGCGAGGATGTGGAAGAAAAGGCACACTCATACTTTGCTGCAAACTGGTGCAGCCAATCTGGAAAGCACTATGGAGATTCCTTGAGAAACTTGGAATGGAACCACCATACCACCCAGCTATCCCTGGGTCTCCTCAGTTTATACACAAAGGACTCAAAATCAGCATAAAATCAGTGATGCAGCCACATCAACGTTTATAGCAGCTCAATTCATAATAGCTCAACTATGGAAGCAACCTAGATGCCCTTCAATAGATAAATGGATAAAGAAACTGTAGTATATATACACAATGGAATATTACTCAGAATTAAAAAAGAATAAAATTATGGCATTATAGGTAAATGGATGGAGTTGGAGAATATCATGCTAATGAAATAAGCCAATCCCTCAAAACCAAAGGCTGAATGTTCTCTCTGATAAGTGGATGCTGATCCATAATGGGGGGGGGGGGCACACATGAGAAAAATGGAGAAACTTTAATTAGGCAAAGGAGAGGGAGTGGAGGGGGCATGGAAGCAGGAAAGATGGTGGAATGAGATGGACATCATTACCTAGGTACACGTATGACTGCGTCAGGACATCATATACAACCAGAGAAATGAAAAGTTGAGCTGCAATTGTGTACAATGAACCAAAAATGCATTCTGCTGTCACATATACCTAATTAAAATAATAAGTGAAGGAAATATGGATGGAAAATTAAAACACACAAAAAAATTTGATAGCACACAAAGTACTGAGGGTGAAGTCTCTGTTTTCTGGACACAATTAGTGCCCTGCATTGCTGAGCTACATTCCCAGCCTCTTTGTAACTAAGGAGAAATCTATACAACCCTCTAGCTTCATTTGCTTGTAGCTGATTTTTATTGGAGGTCACCCAGCTAAGTTGTAATCATTAGTATCCCAGTAGCTTTGCTATGGATGACACCTCCGAGCCAAGGTGCCTACCAAGCCAAAGGCTCATATTGTCCTGTTCCCCTACTGAGAAGATGCCTTCTGTATCTAAACGATTAACTGCAAAGCTAGCTATTCCTGAGAAAACAAACTTAAAAAGCATGAATCATAAGACGTTCTAACCGGTAGCTTTTCTTTAGATTCACAGAACCCACGGTATCGGGTGACCTTCAGATAACTGCAGCCAGGGCACCAGAAGAGCACATCACTGAACTACCCTGGTGCTGCCCATCTGCTATACTTGCTCTGAAGTCCCTATATAAGCCCTGCGCCTGTAACCCTTAAGCAAGACGGCTTTTTTTTTTTTTTAGAACAAAGCATTTTTTCCTCACTCTGCCACTCGAGTTATTGGCTCCGTGGGCAGCAGTGGAACCGAACTTTCCGCGGCTGCACCTTCGCTGCCCTCTGGCCGCAGGTCTTCCCAAGCCCTAACTCGGGTTTCCCACCCCGGCATCACTGCTGTTCAGGAAGGCCCGCACGGCGACCCGGACCGGCTTCCACCGTGCTGGCGGCGCAGTGTCTGTCAATCAAGCCCTCCCCTCGGACCCGGCTTCCACCGTGCGGGCGGCGC